ATTTCAAGGCACAATGGACATTATGAAAGAATGGCACGTAAGACAGCCTTGCCCAAACAGCAATGAGACTTCCATCTTTAAACAATTCCTGAACCTGTAGCTTAGCTTCGGCAGCCTCAAAATACTCCTTCGCTCGTTCATAATTTTCCATGGTCATATGTAGAGCACCGATGTTGTTTAAAATAGCAGCTGGAGCATCCATCTGACCATCTTCACATGGTTTAATCAACTCACAAGCAGTTTCGTAGAGAGTGAGAGACTTCTAAATCGAGAGCCGCTACAGTTCCAACACATTTTAAACTTGATTCGCTGGAAAAAAAAGAAAAAGAAATGAAAGCACACCTGGGGATCGACTCCTTCCAATAGTTGAGCAAGATCAATCAAAACTTCCACATCGTTAGGCATCGCTTCCAAGACTTTTGTTAGCATGTCGCGAGCCTTTTCTTGTCGCTCCTGATGAAACAATGAAAATAGATGCAAGTAATTAGAAGTACTCGTAAAGTTATTCAGAGAAAATTAGCTAATTTAAAGTGATGTAAACAGATGAGAACTGGGCGCTAACGTAGTATTGAAGAGGCGGGAGGGAGGGGGTACGCGACGAAACCAGACCTCGTCGACTCCGTTCGTCTGCTCTCTTGCTGGGTTGAGCCTGGCCAAGAGACTTTGTACTTATGGCTGCTCATCCGCGTCTTCGGTGTGAGGCGCAGATGACCCGCCCTGGTGGCGCCTCCGTGTGCCCCCACCAACTAAGTCAGCGCCAATATTCGCGTGATTAAAATACATATTTAGAAATGAATGAAAGAAACTTTTACCTGATTTCCGGCATCGGTATGAGCATACAGAGCTGAAAGAACCTTCATTGTGTCTATATTGTTCGGCATCACTTTCAAAACGGTTTCGAAGGCCGTTATTGCCTGAAATCAATATCGATATACCGTTCTTTCTTTGCAAACGATTCTTAATCAGGTTACAATACATTCGATGAGAAGAACAAGTACACGAATAACAAACCTGGTTGAATTCGCCTCGCATTATATACAATTGACCAAGACCATACTGGGGCAGTACAAAGGTAGGGTGATTTAATGTGGTTGCTTGATAGTAATACTAAAAGAAAGACTTCTGGAATGTTTAACAGAAAAATAATTTCGATGAAGTAACCAAAAACTTTTTGTTAATAAAATTACGAATTAAAAACAACCTTGAACGCTTTTTCATAATCCCGGTTAAAGTGGAAATAACGTGCAAGGATATAGCACGCTTCGGCCTTGATTTCGTCACTCTCGGTCATGTTCATCGCATGCCAGGCCAAGCGCTCCACTTTGTTCATTTCCTGAAAAAGATGAGAGGTGAGAATTGTTAGGAATAAATTCGCTGTGGAACAGGAAGCCCTCTAGTACGTGGGCTACCCTAATTAAATACTGGTAAGTACCAGCGAATTTTCCCAGAAAAAGTATACAGATAACAAATTTGCGACCATTTCGATCTCGTCTTTTGTGAACGTTTATTTTCATTTCAAAATCCAAAGTGGTGTACTGACAAAGAGCG